CAGCACAGACAAGCAACAGCGCACCACAGCAGATGGACCAGCGCTGGAGCGGCCTACAACAACAGAACAACCAAAAGGCCAAGATGAGGATGACTGCCATCAAGTTTACAACCAGAGATGGCAAACAAATGGATACAACATCCAGCAAGGACACAGAAGAAATCGACAACGAAAGGGTCCAGAGCCGATCACACATGACACAGAAGGCTTGGATCCACAACTTGTTTCACAAGGCACGGAGAAAGAAGTACAGCAAATGAAAGACCAATAAGTCTTTACAGAGATTGATGGCAACACAATGACACCAGAACAACGAGCAAACATCATTGAGTCAAGATGGGTTCTTAAACCAAAACACAACGAAGCGCAAGCGCTAGAAAAGGGCTACACAGAACCCCGTTACAGACCATGACCTACTCTTTGCAAGCACACCACTGTTTTGCGCACTGAGGGTACTCCTCACAATGTCACTTGTGTACAACTGGCCATTCTTTACCGGAGATCTCAGTGTTGCATTCCTACATGCAGCAGCAATCCCCTAAAACTTGGTAATAAGACCACCAAAAGAATTTTACAACAAAGCAAACAGACACATCATGTGGCGGCTGATTAAGGCTATCTACGGCTTAACATCATCACCAAAACAATGCCAAGTCCACATAGCACACATCCTCACAGTTACACTTGAACTTGTGAGATGCACAAGAGAGAGCAATGTTTACAGGCCAAAGGACTGCCAGGTCTACATCCTGATCTATGTAGACGACCTCCCACTCATAGGAGTACAGAGCATCATCGACACACTCTTCAGCAGGCTGCAAAAATCAAGCACTGCTGAGACACGCAAGCGACCTCAATGTAGGCACAACAATACATTTCCTTTTCACACAAAGGCAACTACATCGTCATGAGCTTGAACAACAACTACGTTGGCATCATCCTGGAAGAATCAGGAATGACTACCAGCGACCCAGCACCATCACCAGGAGTGTCACACAAGAGAGGCGCAGCAGAAGATGCAGCGCCGCTCGACCACGAACAGCAGCACAAGCAACACAGGCGGCTTGTTCGCAGGTGCAATGGCTAGCGCACACGTGACCAGACATCAGCTAGGGAGCAAAGGAGCTAGCAAGATCACTACAAGCACCAACACAGTTTGACAACAAGAAGCTCAAACACCAAAGGCACAAGGTACTTGCGACGCAACCGGCAACCAAAATACAGATACAGGACAAGCGAACCCCACGCAACATCGACACATACACAGATGCCAACTGGGCATCATGCGCGACAACAAGAAAGAGCGCAACGGGATTTGTGATGCACTTCTTCGGAGCAGCGATGCACTTATGGAAGCAGAACGCAAACTTTCATGAGCAGAGTCAGAATTGGTACAGCAGCGCAGGAGAGCCTCTACATCAGCAACTTCATCAAGGAAGCATTTGGAGCACGCACCAACATCAGGATACACGCAGACAGCAGCGCAGCTCAATCAATCACGATGCGGGAAGGCGCATCAAAGAAAGCAAGCCACATTCAGCTGCGACACTCTCAACAAGCACATGTACACAGTTGGCCTGCGAGGCAACTTTTCACACCAGCAAGCGCAGTAGTCAGCGCAGTTTGTTAAACAACAGGTCACCTTTCCTTGTCTACAACGAAAGTGAAAGCGCTACAACTTAGTTTCTCTTAGGAAATCCGGAGCCATGGTACATCTTTTCTGGGAGTTTTGCAACCCCCTTACAATGGTTTTCCTGCAAGACACATGTCAAACACGGATTTGCACTTTTTTTTAATTTTTACATCATTGAGGTACATTGTTCCTGATACATCGGACCAATGGACATGCAGGCCTTGACAGCGCTTGCTACATCAAATGAGCGCACCGGAAGGCGATACGGCGAGCACTTGTTTGCATCGCTGACATCTTGGGATTTCACAACATCAATTGCGTCAACGGCAAGGAGGCGCGCAACATCATGGAGTGGCACATCGAGAAGACCACAGATACAAACAGTGTTTTGCACATCGCTTTTACTGCAGAGGAATACAGCAATTTGAATGGCGATCACACTGGACTGCAGACCAACATGAGGAGGCCATTTTGCGAGTACATGATCTACAACACCAGTCCATTTGATGCTCTCACAACTTTGTCCTACCTCTTCAGAGCATTGGCTTGGGACTACAACATGGTCAGCTTGAGCCACCTACAGAAGCAACCAACATGGACGAGGTTTCAGCAGTGTCTGGAAAGAGGCCAAGAAATGCGTGAACATCATGGTTCACACAACTGCGATATGCGCGGCACAGTCGAACAGCTAGATACAACATTGCTTGAAACGGCAACTGTTTTACACCTGCTTTTGACACCACGACCCACAAGGAAGTTGCGCAGCTTGGTACACATCTTTTTGCACAGTGGCAACATCCATTTTCAACATGTCAGGAGAATGTGTATCCTGAGGAGGCGTGTTAAATACTACATGCTTTCTCTAGCAGTACAGTTGGGCTACATCCGCTGCCCATACATCCCAAGGCCTTGGGCATATGTACAGACCTGCCTTAGTACAGCTACAGTAGACAGTACATCATTGCCCAGAGGAAACAACTGCGCTCGCTTCACAGACAGGTTCATCACATCAAGTAAATCGGTATACACTTGCTCCAAGCTTAACAAGAAGCCAAGAAGTATCATTATATATGTCTACACGGGATCTGCATCTTTTTTCTATATGGTACCCCCCCTCCCCTGGTGCCTTGGTTTTGCTTGAGTTCAGTCATTTTTCAGGTAATTTTGCTTTTTTTGCCAAACTTGGGCACCAAGGAGGGGGGGCCACAATTCTACAATTAAGAATTCCGAACCCAAGATTGCTGGGAGACCTTCAATGTGACAATCTGGAATTCAAGATTCGAAACTTTAAAAACAATCTTTTCTGGAATTCTGGAATATTGAATCTTGCATCCCATACACATATGTTTATATATGACTGGGATTCAAGATTCAAGATTCAAAATAGTCTTTTTCTGGGAATCTTGAATGTTGAACATCATATTTTTTCAATCAATATATATCTGGGGCTCAAGATTCAATATTTCAATAGAATCTTTTTCTGGGAATATTGAATCTGGAATCTTGAATCCCATTTCTTCTTCTCTAAAGAATAGATAAACAATTCCAGGTTTGTCCCAATACTCTCGGTGTTCAATAAGATTCTCGGAAAAGCTTTCCGTGAAATATTTCAATCTCGAATCTTCAATCCAGTGGTAAAATACTTTCGAAGTTTAGGATGGATGATTCTCAGGAAAAGTTGTTGTTTGTGTCTGAGATTTCCAATGTCCTTAGGACTGGTCGCCTCCTGCGCCTTTCGGGTGATTCAACCTGAAAAATATGCAAAATATTTTTTTCGTTAAGTTGGGGGGTGGAATTTGGAAGATTTTGGCTTCTAGAGCTAACTTCGGGTTATTGAACTTGAAAAATGTGCAAAAGCGTTTTTTTCTGCTAGCTTTGGGGTGGCTCAACTTGAAAAATGCGCAAAAGTGTTTTTTCTTGCAGTTGGGGTGTGGAATTTGGAAGATTTTGATGCGCTTTCAAGGCGAATGGTAGACAGATGCGGCCCGCAGCAAGCACCATGCGAGAGATCAGTGCAAGGAATTCTTCGCCTGACCTACTTGGAAGCGCTGTTTTGCTTTTGCGCTAGAACGACATAGCGGACCGTGTGCTTTAGAACAACACCATTGCACTTGTCAGATGTCAATGAACCAAAACACATAATTGTGTTTTTCATTCGAAGAAACTTGTTTACAAAAGCGCAAAGGCTATAGAAGAATTCATCATGCTCCAGAAGAAACTTGTTTACAACACGCAAGGCTATAGAAGAACTCATCATGCGATCCCAACCTCTTGTCCCTTTTGGGCAGCAATGACAACGACAGCGAGCCATTTTTTCCGTGTCTTTTGGGCTGAGTCTGCGCTGTTGCAGCTGCGGGGCAAAAAGTGCGGGGCAGCCCCCTGCTGGTCCATCCAGTGGTAAAATACTTTCAAGGCTTAACGATCCAGTGAAAACACTTTCAAATTATTAGTTAGACAAACTTTCAAGTGTTTTTGGTGAGCGGTTTGCTTCATGTTAGCTTTGAAGCGTGTTGACCCTTTTCCAGGAGGTAAACAAATGTAGGTATAATGCTCAAAAACACAGTATTTTTCAGTATTTTGTAAAGAGGCGCAGGATCATTGGGGGTACTACATATGTGTGTATGTATGTATATATTCACATATGTCTGAATGTTCACACACCGTCACCCCCCCACCCCTCTTGAACTACCTCTCCGCAATTGCTCATCTACTACCTCCGCCTTTTGAGATAGAGCGAATTTGGTTTTCCTGTGCAAATAGAACTTTAAATGCAACTGATTCAGCTAGAATCCCTGTTTCGAAATAGTTTTAGAATTTGAACCTGTCTTCCCTTGAAATGTCCTTTTGGAACACCGTCTAACAAGCTTAATTCCGGACCTTTCTTATGCTGCAAAGAAGGGATTGAGGTGTGTTCGTATTATATCATATCTAACACTTAGATTACATTTGGGAATAAACTCCTAACTTCTTTTGTTGAAGATTAGTTGGAGTTTGCCCGAAACTATACTTATATTCTCATGTAGCTCCTACTTGGAAAGGATTTGCTTGTATAAGCTGTAGTTGAGCAATGTTGAGCATAAACACATTTTTGAAAGCTATATCCTAACCAAATTATATTCAAAATTGCAATTCCAGTTGAAGTAAAAGGCTATTTGGAAAGGGTATCATATTGGGACATTTCGGATTTTGCCATGATGGACTGCAAGCCCATTCGTTTGTGCTTAAAATCTATTGCAACAAATCTAGACTCTACAACCTAGGCACCAGGGGGGGCGTAGCATATATTTATAGATATACACAGATATTGACAAGGGTTGTTCATATCACTGACATGCCTCGAGACAATCAGTCAGCAACCATCCTTCAGGATTTGGAGGTCGAGGATGGCCCAAAGAGGCAAGCGGCGAGTCAACTACTACGTAAAGCATATCATCGTGGATGTCGACGGCAATTTCAGCAAGGAGCGACATGCGCCAAAAGACCTTGCTGACCTTGCCGTTGTTTGGCCACGGTTTTCAGGCCTTGAGGTGGATCGTGAAAGCAGGGAATGCCAAGCGCCTCGGTGCACTTGAAGGGATCATTCAGCACTTCAGCATGTGCCTTTGCATTTGCCAGGCACATTTGTCATCCAGCTCCTTGATTGCGAAGTGCCAACCCTTTGCCGCAGAGTAGAGTGGGTTTGAACCGAGGCAGTGGTGATGGTTGCTGATATGTTGTGGAGCAAAATTGCATGCGCATACTTCGCGTTCGGCCGCGGCTGGCTTACGTATCAGCATTGGCACCTTGCAATGCAAGCCCTCGGCCTTTCTTCGTGATTTGCTCGTTATAAGCTTGGCCTGAGGCCTCGGCCTTCTCTTTATCTTGATGTGCTTCGTCATAAGCCAATCCGTATTGCCGCGGCTACACACTGTCCCAGCCTCGGGAGCTGCTTTTCGTAGTAGAAATAGAGTGGAATGAATGTCTTTCTGAACATCACTTGTAAGGTCAGCACGCAGAGCGATCGGATAGTAATGTTTGCTCTCAGGCGCAGTTTGTTGTGGTCGTTGTGCATGTGTGTTTGTGTGCGGGCGTGTTTGCATCCATCGACATTCTCCTGAACAACATAATGTTGAGTGGAGAACTTGAATCATTTTACTATGCAGAAGCACCTTCTTCGTCCTTTGTGCAGGCTTTTTGTGTACCTTTGCAGCCTTGGCACCTTCGCGGTGATGCAGAGTCGTCAGATCATCGAGGATGTGAAGTGCGGCACTTGGATCCACAGAAAGGCGGGCGGCAAAGCGGATTGTCCAGGTCTAGATCCTTCTCCCGTTGCTGGCGGATTCCATACCCGCAGCATCTCGCGGACTGGAAGGAAAGAGTAACGCTTCTTCTGGTGGCACAGATGCAAGTAGCTGCTAATTTGTTGTTTAGTGAGCTGAATCGGCTTGATACTTGTCATCCTAGAGAGAGCTCGTGAGCGGTGCTCGGCCACGAGGTCATCACACTTATCCTCATGGCCACCCAGGAGAAGCTTGGGCCATAGAACCCGAAACTCATGTTTCTTTCAGGAGCCCATCCTGTACTGTCTCTCTCAATGGGAGGCGGGCTCCAGACATAGACTATTCGACACAAAGACTTTTAGCAGTTGGGGTCAACCACGCAGGGCGACTTCGACGGTGCTGGTATTTTTACGCAGAGCTGCCCTGCAGGCCTTGCACACAAGGACGTTGAGAAAGGGCTCTGAGAATTGGCTTCGTATTTGTGCTCATTGGCTGAAGGACGTTTATTCATCCTTGGGATGCATTGCACTCCTCCTGTACTTCGCACGAATTACAGACTTGAGCTACTTGGCAGCGGGAATTCACAACATAGGGCTGCATCAGCCCAGCATGATGTAAGGCATCCTGTCGACCTGGGCTTCTGCGTTCCTGCTGGTTTGCGCTCGAATGTTGACAGAGCTCACGCTGTTTCTTACAGCTTTGGCTTTTCTTATTGTGGCCTTTGCCACGTCAGCATCTACGTGCCTTGCCCGCAAGTGATCTTGAGAAGCTTGTCCCGGAGAGATTGTCAAGGTTGCAGCGCAGCATGACGGACTTCTCCAGAGCAGACAGAGCAATGCTGTCCCTTGCGGCAGCTTGACTTGACTTGAGAGAGACGCGTGGGCCAGAAAGTTGGCGCTTCAAGGAAGTTGCACTGGGGCTGTATCCCAACAGCCACTTTGCAGAGCTGCAGACGAGCGGCTTACTACTTGCAACGGTTAGCACCTTGGCTGAGCTCTGCGTTTTCACAGGTTCCTCGAGCTGAAATTTTGATCTCTTTGAAAGCATCCTGGACGGCATGTCGCTGGGTTCCAGGGTTGCAGCCTTCCGCAATCAGACCTGAACATTTGTGCAAGCTGAGGTGTCTTCATACTGATCTCTCTGGTCTTCCTGCTGAATCTCTTGGTGGCACAGTTGAATAGCGCCTACCAAGCAGTTTATGCCGCCGCTTGATCAGCAAAGCAAGAAAGGCCCGCCTTAGTAAAAGGCAAGAACAAGAAGAGCAACGCAGAGCCGGAAAGAGACTTCCTGAGGACATGGTAGGCTTTGCACGCCTGAATCGAGGCTCTCACCTGAGAGTCTGATATGGAAGCCTTGCGCGCTATGAATCATGTGGACTGCTTTGGACTTTGGGTGAATGATGTTTGCAGGCAAAATAACGCTGGAGACGCTGCTTGACATTGCAAGCCGGTGAGTGTTTTAGATGCCATTCTGCGAAGCCCCATCTGAGTGTTTGTTGACAGTGAGCTAAAGAGTGAAACAATAAGTGAAGTCCACAAGTTGCTTGCAAGTGCACGGGCTCTGTGGCTTACTTGTGTTGGCTTGCAGTCACATGGTTGTTTGCACTGCTTCCTTGAACCACCGCCCATGGTGTCAAGGCTAGCTTCTGTGTCCCAGCGGCGATGGAGACGTTTTGCGGACCGCCGTTCGTGAGATTCTGCGTGTAACAATGCGCCGCAGCAAGATAGCTGGAGTGTCCGGGGAGAGGGGGGCTCTTGCAGGATAGCTTGAGTTTAGATGAGCGCCTGGAATTCAATGAGGGCCAACGCCTCAGTGGCCGAGTTGTTCGCGCTCCCTGCCCTCTTGGGGGACCAAATCGTCCTTGTCCGGCAACTGTGAGACTGGCAACGAGTCAAGTCCTGAGGAGATGTGGGCCTTGCAGGAGGTATACAGGTCTTGGAGCCCGCCAATGCGCATCCGACCAACGCCGGACATCTCCAGTTGGATGAGTTGGATGGGTTGGATGGTCGTTCTTTGCTCACACTGAGGTTGAGGTCATCAGGCGGTATGGCGGCTCCACATCTCCCAGCATGCAATGGCCGGAGGAGGGCAGTGTGGCTGAGCATTTATCACCAGCAGTGTGTCTTTCGTTCCTTCAGCAGGATCCAGATGATGATGAGGACCAAGCTTACCGAACTGTTCGATGATTTCCTCTGCACTTGTCGGGTACGTTCTCGACAGGGAAAGGTGACAACTCTGCCAATCATAGCCAACAGCAACATTCTTGATTTCAGAGAGCGCAATGCCTTCATGCGCTTTGTTCAATTGTATAGGACAGCCGACTGGAGCGCTTGGAGAAGATCATGAGCCGTGCTGTGAAGCACATGAGCAAGCCGCGCAGCCGCAAGTCAAAGCATGGCTGCCGTGTTTTTCTTGCAGTTTGCAAGCCCTGAGGAGGCAAGAGAGTCGGCTGGGCTCGAGCTGTTCAGGCAGGCGCAGGGTTGCAGGGTTTTTGTTCAGCGCGTTTTCTATGGTCAAGGCACGATGCCTTGCTAACGAGACATGACCATGACTTAAGCAGGTTTGATCACGGCACATAGGACTGAGGGCTCCAGTCAGATCTTGCAAGCAACGCCCAGCCAAGGGCACAGCTCCAGCAACTCGTCAATGGACAGCGAGCATAGTGACAAGCAGTGAGGGCGCAGATTCTGCATGAGATACGGTCTGACGCCAATACTTGTGCGCAGCTCTTGTAATCTAGCGGTCGCAGTACAGCATCCAGATTAGGAAACAAAGTGGCCCACGTTCCACGTTGTTTGAGGATCAACAGCGTTTGTGTAGGTGCTCAGACTCCCAAGGCTGCTGCAGGACAACTGCAGCCTTGCGGGCCTGAGCACAGTCGCTCGAGTTTGAACATGTGCATCAAGTCCGACCTGTCAGCACCCACCCGTGGTGTGACCAGTCGACATAATTCGCCACAGCTTCCGATCCCGGAACAAAGTTGGCGGCTGAGGCATCCAACCGCCCGGCCGACTTAAGCGAATCTGCGCTCAAAATGATTGGCAAGCATCACGGTATATCACGGTGCATCACGGTGCATCACGGTGCATCACGGTGCATCACATTCAGCTTCTCTGGCGTTTGGAGGTGAGACACTGCTCCTGCTCCAGTTATTGAAATAACCCGCACGTTGCAGATTCAGATCAAAGTTCATCGGTTGAGATCTGGTGACACTGGATTATTGGGCGTTCTTTGTTTTTTTTGCAACAAGTAACATGGCACAGCCTCAGTACTACCTGTGAGACCCGATGCCACCACCCATTGCGGAGGAGGAGGGAGTGTTTGTGAGTTCCTGGAGATAGTTCTTTAGCGCATCAGGAGAAGCAGCCGGCATGGGGTGTTGCCTTGTGGGACTTCGACATTCAGAGCACAAATAGTAACGACAACCGCATGAGCGTTCAAAATGCCCAGGTGACCAGTGCAAGGAGTTTGTGCATTGGATACGATTCTCCCAGCCAAGGATGGGAGTGCCTATGGTGAGGGCTACTTGAGCTTCAACGAGGGGCAGGAGAGCCAATCACTTTCAAGAGCTGCAATCAGTAGAACCTATGAGCCACAATTGCCAAAAACAAACCCGGGCAGATGAAGGTTAGGAAGGGATAGAGTCCCAACCATAAATGGGTGCAGCCGCCTTGTGAATGGATTCTCCACATGATTCTGGATTGACCACTTTACATACCATGTTTTGATTGCTGCTATGAGATATCCCATTGGCGGGCTAACACTGTAAGTAGCCACGATTCTGTGAGCAAAAAGGCAGCTTTCTGACACTACGCAAGCATAGCATAGACGCCAGTGCCCGCTTGCAGCCTTCAAGTGGCTTGTTACATGTTCTTTGTGAAGTTCTGCAGCCGTTTGCTTTCTAGAGAGCTGTTGCGGCTTTCCAGACAGTTGGCCTTGTTTGGCATTTGTTTTGTGCCCGCGCTTTGGTCCATAGTTGTGGGGGTGATCATTGTGGCAGGAGCTAGGCATCTTCACAGACGAGGAAGCGGATGGCTGGGCGTTCGGCAGTCACAATGGCAACAAGGCGCTGCGTGCTGGGTAGGTTCGGCAGGGTAAGGCCGATTGCTAAATCTTCAGCATTGACATGGGCACCAATAGCTTGCATCGCAAATGCTCTCATTGAAACCGCCCCACGATGCAGGGCTGGTTTCCTCCAGACTTCTGGGGTGCAGGCCGGGTGGCCGCATTACTGCCTTCGAGATTTAGTTGCAGCCTTGCCACGCGAGGCTCATCTTTGGCTCCTCCAAGAACTTGTGGCCTGCACTCCTCGCCGGACGCGCGGTGGTCCACAAGACGCGAGAAATCTTTAGTTCGTCAGGAGAAGCGCGGGTCCGGGAGTGGGAGCAGTTGCGAGTTCGCGGAGGGCGTCGTGAAGGCGGGAGAAAGTCGAAGTCTCAAGGAAGTGAACGCCTCATTTCTCACGAGATCTTCTTCATGCAGCGGCGGTTCGGCTTCATTGAGTGCAACGGTCTTGAAGCTCACCAGCAGCCAGAGCACCCTTCAACCAGGGAAAGTCACTGAGGGAAGGCTCACTGCTCTTGCGTGCTTCTATGCTTGTTTGACTTGGTCTAGTTGCTTGGGTGCTCAGGATGTCTTCCTGCACCTCAGCGACTGCGGAAGTCACGTGCCTCGTGTCGGCGACGGAGTTCGCTTTACCATTGAGAGGACATGTTCTTTTTGCCAGTCAACCACCGAGTGCAACCTGCGCTGCAGGAGAGCGGCAAATCCCAAGCAGCTGCAAGCAAAGAGCCTCCCTCAGCTGCAACTTGCTTCATACCAGAAAAAATCACGTGAGCACAGGTCTGTCACTTTCACTGGCCGCCAAAGCAGCATCAGCCAGAACCAGACAGGCGTGGTGAAGTCTATCTCCAGCACCTTGACAATCGAAGCTCTGAGACATTCTGAGACTTACTTGCTTCAAATTAAATGCCGCGGAGAACCGAGGCAACTCTGGCTTCATAAGTGCTGCATCTGGCGGTGCCCTTTGGCTGCATTGCCCACGGGGTTCAAGGGCAATCGAAGAGGAATGGGCTGAGGATGTGTTCTTCCTCATATCCAACTGCAAGGAGGGCATGCCCATGCCTGGTGATACCGTGACTTTTGATGTGAGACCCGGCCGAAGAAATAGGGCTGTGCAGACTTTGACCGGAGCTGTGCGATTTGTTTAGGCATCACCATCCCCGAAATGGAGCTGCGCCAAACGCGCCAAACGCGCCAATGCCAACTATGTCAGCTTAGGAAGTGGTCAGAGACGCGACCTGGTTCCTTGGAGGCTGTGAAGCTTGGCCGGGGATGTTGGAGTCGGAGGCCAAAAGAATTCAAAGGCTTCCCGGAGGCTTCATGGCAGGCCTCGTGCATCCGAGGAACATGGTGGTCATCGCAACTCCGCGGAAGATGCGGCAGCGATCAGATTCAATCCATTCGAGTCAAAGTTGGAAGGTCGCGGCCTTGGCCTTATGTCTAGCCACGCCTTGCTGTGCCTTGTGCACGAAATCTCCTTTGGCAAGGATGTGAGGGAGGAGCACCCGAGCGTGGCATCCATCAGGGACTTTGCCGCCGCACCTCAATTTGCATCGACATGTGACATGACATTTGTGTTTTCTTTCATTTGTTTGTCCATTTAAGGGCTTTCTTTCATTGTATTCTCTTTCATGTGTCTTCATTTTTCCCCAGATAGCTGAAAGCTACAGGGGTTCTAACTTCCAATAAAGAAGGGAAAGTGATTTGCGAGCTTGAGCTAGGGGGCATGCAGTTTGGGGTGCTGGTGGATGCTGTTTTGCGAGCTTGACGGTGCTAGGGGGCATCCAGCTTGGGCTGCTGGTGGAGGTGCCGCTTTGCGAGATTGACGACCGGGTGCTGGCATGCAGTTTGGGGTGCTGGTGGATGCTGTTTTGCGAGCTTGACGGTGCTAGGGGGCATCCAGCTTGGGCTGCTGGTGGAGGTGCCGCTTTGCGAGATTGACGGCCGGGTGCTGGCGTGCAGTTTGGGGTGCTGGTGGATGCAGTTTTGCGAGCTTGACGGTGCTAGGGGGCATCCAGCTTGGGCTGCTGGTGGAGGTGCCGCTTTGCGAGATTGACGGCCGGGGCTGGCGTGCAGTTTGGGGTGCTGGTGGATGCTGTTTTGCGAGCTTGACGGTGCTGGGGGCATCCAGCTTGGGCTGCTGGTGGAGGTGCCGCTTTGCGAGATTGACGGCCGGCATGCAGTTTGGGGTGCTGGTGGATGCGCTTGCAGATGGGCTGCTGGTGGAGGATGCACGGCCGTTGGCATGCAGTTTGGGGTGCTGGTGGATGCTGTTTTGCGAGCTTGACGGTGATAGGGGCATCCAGCTTGGGCTGCTGGCGGAGGTGCCGCTTTGCGAGATTGACGGCCGGGTTCTGGCATGCAGTTTGGGGTGCTGGTGGATGCTGTTTTGCGAGCTTGACGGTGCTCGGGGGCATCCAGCTTGGGCTTGCTGGTGCAGGTGCCGCTTTGCGAGATTGACGGCCGGGTGCTGGCATGCAGTTTGGGGTGCTGGTGGATGCTGTTTTGCGAGTTTGACGGTGCTAGGGGGCATCCAGCTTGGGCTGCCGGTGGAGGTGCCTTTGCGAGATTGACGGCCGCGTGCTGATATGCAGTTTGGGGTGCTGGTGGATGCTGTTTTGCGAGCTTGACGGTGCTAGGGGGCATCCAGCTTGGGCTGCTGGTGGAGGTGCCGCTTTGCGAGATTGACGGCCGGGTGCTGGCATGCAGTTTGGGGTGCTGGTGGATGCTGTGCGAGCTTGACGGTGCTAGGGGGCATCCAGCTTGGGCTGCTGGTGGAGGTGCCGCTTTGCGAGATTGACGGCCGGGTGCTGGCATGCAGTTTGGGGTGCTGGTGGATGCTGTTTTGCGAGCTTGACGGTGCTAGGGGGCATCCAGCTTGGGCTGCTGGTGGAGGTGCCGCTTTGCGAGATTGACGGCCGGGCGCTGGCGTGCAGTTTGGGGTGCTGGTGGAAGTGCCACGTGCTAGGGCATGCAGTTTGGCTGGTGACGGCCGGGTGCTAGGGGGCGTGCTGTTTGGGGTGCTGGTGGATGCTGTTTATCCAGCTTGGGCTGCTGGTGGAGGTGCCGCTTTGCGAGATTGACGGCCATGCAGTTTGGGTGCTGGTGGACGCTGTTTTGCGAGCTTGACGGTGCTAGGGACGTTGTTGCTGCCCGAACTGTGGCGCGTAGTGGTTCGTGGCTGGTGTATCATCTTGATGTTGGCGACCGCGTCATGATGCTGCTGGCATCGTCGTGGGTGCGGTGGCGCCATGATGCTGTCAACAGCAGGATGATGCTGCATTTCATTACGCTGTTGCAAGATGATTTGTGGCTGTGGTATCATCATTCGCCTGCCTCTACCATCACAATGATGCTGTTCGCATCACCATGATGCTGCCGGCATCATCATGATGCTGTCCGCATCATCATGGTAGTGTTCGCGTCATCATGATGCTGTCGAACTCGTCAGGACGTCGTCTCTACCTTTTCCCGAATGCGTAGCAAAGGGTTCCCGTTTGTAAGTTGGGGTCTGGGGGCGGAGGCCGTGTTCGCGAGGAGTTGCTCCAGAGTTCGCAGCCGTCCGCAACCGTCCGCAACCGTTCGCAACCGTCCGCGGTGAGGCGATAAGCGTGTGCCATTGGGATTTGTGGAAGCGTGTTTTTGATGGATCGGCAAGTGCTGTTTTCGTTGGCCCTGTGCGCGAATCGTAGCTTCTCGAAGCTCGACGTGTCGTTTCGCTGCGCAGGCGCAGTGTTTCACAGCAGTGGGATTTGCGATCCAGGGGTGGTCGCTTTGAGGTATCCTGCTTGGCAGGCGCGTGATAGTGTTTGTGCGAGTGTCATTTTCGTTGGCCCTGTCGTACAATCGGCTCGTTTTGGCGAGCCTGAAACATGTCAAAATTGGTCGAAATCATTCTGGCGCCACAGTCCCGTGCCAGTTTTCGATGCGTGTCGTAAACGTGTCAAAGTTGGACTTCGTGGCAGGTCCAGCAGTTTGGATGATTTTGAGTTTGTGGCAAGCTTGCTTTGCGTGACAGGCGCAGCACTTTCGAGCGTTTTGGTTGAATTTTGTGGCAGGCGCAGCACTTTGGAGCTTTTTGCGTGCAAATTTCGTGGCAGGCGCAGTACTTTGGCGCCTGGGTGTAGATTTCGTGGCAGGCACGTCACTTTGACTGAGCGAGATCGCCCTCGCTGTGGCGCGGTGCACATTTTGAGAACGCGAAGCGAACCCTCTGCGCGCTTTGGGTGGGTCAAATCGCTCTCGCTGTGGCGCGGTGCACATTTTGAGCGTGCGAAGCGAATCCTCTGCGCACCTTGGTGGATCAAATCGCTCTCGCTGTGGCGCGGTGCGCATTTTGAGCATGCGAAGTGAACCTCTGCGCACTTTGGGTGGGTCGAATCGCTCTCGCTCTGGCGCGGTGCACATGTTGAGCGCGCAAAGCGAACCCTCTGCGCACTTTGGCTGGGTCGAATCGCTGTCGCTGTGGCGCGGTGCGCATTTGGAGACAGAAGTGTCGTTCAGAAGTGTCGATCACAAGTGTCCATTAGAAGTGTCGTTCAGAAGTTTCGATTAGAAGTGTCGTTCAGAAGTGTCGATCAAAAGTGTCGCTCAGAAGTATCGGTCGGAAGTGTCGACAGAAGTGTTGCTCGGAAGTGTCGATCAGAAGTGTTGCTCAGAAGTGTCGATCAGAAGTGTCGAACAGAAGTGTTCCTCAGAAGTGTTGCTCAGACGTGTGCCTCAGAAATGTTGTCAGAAGTGTTGCGCAGAACTAGAGCTGTTGATCAGATCGGAAGTGTGGATCAGACGTGTTGCTCAGAAGTGTCAATCAGAAGTGTGGTTCAGAAGTATCGCCCAAAAGTGCCGCCCAGAAGTGTAAGTGAAAAGTGTTGCTCAGAAGCGTCGAACAGAACTGTTGCGCGGAAGTAACGGCTGGAGGTGTTGCTCAGAGGCATCGCTCAGAAGTGTCGCTCGGGAGCGTCGCTCATGTCGCTGAGCTATGTGTGTAGAAATGTTGCTCGAATTGTCGCTCAGATAGCAGTGTTGCTGGTTGTGTGTGGCTCATCAAGAAGTGTCGCTCAGGAGTGCCACGCCGCGCAGTGTTGCCCAGAAGTGTTGTTCAGAGGTGTCGCTCAGAAGTGTCGCTCAAAAGCGTCACTTACATGTGTGTGTGTGTGTGTTTGCTCAGAAGTGTTGCTCGGAAGTGCTGTGTCGCGCAGAAGTGTCAGCCTGAAGTGTTGCTCAGCAGTGTCGCTCAGAAGTGTCAATTCAGCAGTGTTGCTCAGAAGTGTCGCTCAGAAGTGTCGATGGGCAGTGTGGATCAGAAGTGTTGGTCAGAAGTGTCGCTCAGAAGTGTAACTTCGAAGTGTAGATCAGAAGTCTTGCTCAAAGGTGTTGCTCGGAAGTGTCGGCTGGAAGTGTTGCTCAGAAGTGTCGCTCAGAAGTGTTGCTCGGAAGTGTTTGAAAGAAATGTCGCTCAGAAGTTGCGATCAGAAGTGTGGGTGGGAAGTGTTGCTCAGAAGTGTCGTTCAGAAGTGTCGATGAGCAGTGTGGGTCAGAAGTGTTGGTCAGAAGTGTTGCTCAGACCTTTCGATGAGAAGTGTGGATCAGAAGTGTTGGTCATCAGTGTCAATCAGAAGTGACCAGCAGTGTTGCTCCAACTGTCGATCAGAAGTGTCAATCAGAAGTGCGGATCAAAAGTGTTGCTCAGAAGTGTCGATCAGAAGTGTTGCTCAGAAAAGTCGATCAGAAAAAGTGTCACTCAGAAGTGGCTCAGAAGTGTCGATCAGAAAAAGTGTGGTTCAGAAGTGTTGATCCGGTGTCACTCAAAAGTGTCGCTCAGAAGTGTCAATCAGGAGTGTTGCTCAAGAAGTCGATGCGAAAAAGTGTCGCTCAGAAGTGTGGCTCAGACGTGTCGATCAGAAAAAGCGCGGTTCAGAAGTGTTGATCAGGTGTCGCTCAGACGTGTCGCTCAGAAGTCTAGTGCGCGCTGGAAAATCGCAACTTTGTAGCGCAAGTCTACCGCGCGAAGTACAGGTTTCTGGCAAAATCGCAACTTTGAAGTGCAAGTCTAGTGCACGAAGTACAGCTCCAGCTCGAAAATCGCAGCTTCGTAGACCAGTCTAAAGCGCGAAGTACAGGCTTCCAGCTCCAGCTGGAGAATCGCGACTTTGTAGTACAAGTCTAGTACGCGAAGCACAGGTACGCGAAGTCGAGCTCTAGCTGGAAATCACAACCTTGTAGCACAAGCCTAGCACACGAAGTGCAGGTTTCCAGCTCTAGCTGGAAAATCGTAACCTTGACAAGTCTATACGCGAAGTACCGGTTTCCAGCTCCAGCTGGAAAATATCGACTTTGTTGCACAAGTCTAGCACGCGAAGTACAGGTTTCTAGCTCTACCTGGAAAATCGCGACTTTGTAGTACAAGTCCAGCACGCGAAGTACAGGTTTCCAGCTCCAGCTGGTAAATTGCGACTCTGTAGTACAAGTCTAACACGCAAAGTACAGGTTTCCAGCTCTGGCTGGAAAATCGCAACTTCGTAGTACCAGCTCTACCTGGAGAATCGCAACTTTGAAGTACCAGTCTAGTGCGCGAAGTGTGCAGGTTTCCAGCACTAGCTGGAAAGTCACAACTTTGTAGCGCAAGTATAGTACGTGAAGTACGTCTGTCCGCGCGTCTATTTAGCGCACCATGCTAAGTTGCTGTGGTATCATCATGATGCTGTCAACATCATGATGATGCTGTCAACATTATCATGGTGCCGCGGGAACCATTATGATGCTGCGTCATGTTCGTGGCTGTGGTGTGCTATCTGGGGTCTATGCTGGTGTATTTCTTGTATTTTTTTATAATCTGTATTTTAAATACTTACTTTCTGTATTTTCTTACTTTCTTTTTCCTTCTTGTGTTCTCGCGACGGGACTCGATTCGCAGGTCCTTGGAAAATTGGCCGACCGCACTGAAGCCGCTGAGTCAGAGGCCGCCGTGCTGCGGCAGACGCTGCAGGCGGCGGAGAAGCGGATCACCGCGGCCCGGATCAAATCAAAGCGCATCCAGTCGGATCAAGTCGGCTTTGTTCGAGTCGTCGAGTCGTTGCTCGGATCGGGAATTGTGTCGCATCATATTTCTTGCTCTCTGAATCCCAGTCATACTTCGTCTCAGGAGCTGGAGGAAGACTTGCGAACCAGGTCAGCCAAAGAGCAGACGCCCGAGCGGACGGCATAGATTGTGACAGCAGAGCAGCTGAGTTTTTTCCGGAATCTGGAATGAGACGAGCCATGCTCTCATCCACCATGATGCTGCCACGGTGCAGCCAGCATGTTCTTCCCGCGACCCAGCCAAGCTGGGGAGAGGCGTTTGCAGTGGCATGTTGGAAAACAGGACTCGCATAGAGTGTTTTGGGCAAAGGAGTCATGTCCAGCTTTTGTACAATGTATGTTGCTCGGTTGTGAGGTACAGGTTTCAGTGCAAGTTTGCAACATCACTGAGGGGTCGGTCACATGTCTTCCCTTTGACTACACGTAGTGTCCAAGCCTATCTACGCCGCTCCTTCGCATCTCACTGCTCTTGTTTGAGCCAAGTCACGTGTTGTAGCCTCGGCACAAAGTTATCATGTAGCTGAAGCAGGCAGTGTTGTTGTGCAAAAGCACAACTTAAAGAAGGCAAGGCACACTCAGCCAGAACATGTGAAGCAACATGTCCGAATACTTTTCTCCGGTTGTGCTTCCCTTGGATGCTCCTCGACCTTTGTGTTGTGTTTTCCTTATTGAATCTGAAGTAGCGCAAAAGTATGCTGCATTTGCCTCATTTGCTATGTTCGCATCCTACCATTCAATTAGAGTTTATGGGGACTCGGCGGATTGCCGATCAGAAGCACGCTTTCCTTGTGATCAAATCATCATTTGGTTTCCAGAAACAAACTCAGCCGGACAATGCCATGTAGCAGGCTGAGCACTTTAACTGTTGCCTCCAGCGGCATATAGCTAACCCGCCCTCCAGACAAACTATGCAGAACCTCAAAGACATGCGGGGGTGGGGCGGTGAGCATGATTATATGTGTATATATATATACACATACATATATATATATATGTACACATGCAAGTTTGTTGTTGCACATGTTCTGTAGGCAAGAAGTTTGAGGTTGCACAAGTCTTATGGCTGAGAAGTTTTGGTTGCACGTTGTCATGCTGAACAGCAACAGCCATGAGTTTACACACGTTGCATTCGGTTTACCAGGTGTGTTATGCGCACCTTTCCGGCCCAAGTGTTTTGATTCTGCACCGTGGCCGCATAGCCACGGGTGGCCGCCTCGGAAGCCTCGAGACCGCGGACCTGTCGCACGCGGTTCGATGCTTCAGGTGCAGATGGATGCCTCGTTCAGCACTCATGTGGACCAGCTAATTGCTCGCCTGAAGTCAGCCCCATGCCTGCAGTCAGTCGGCGATCTGGCACGCCGTGAAGTTTTTTCCCATCTCGATGTACCATTCACATTTATGCAAGACATGGACACAGGACATACATCACCGACACTCTACACATATTATGCAGGGTATTTGCTGTGATGTTTTTCCAGCGGCGCCGATGTTCCGGTTCTTTGCTTGCTGGTTTCTTTTTGACGAGGAGCTGGTGCAGCACTACGAGAGGGACGTAGCATCCGTGAAGCCCAACCACGAGGTTCCGGTCGAGTTTTCATCTTTCAGCTTTAGACAGTTTGTGGAAGGAAGAAACAACGGGGGGCTTGGGGACTTTTGGCAGGTTTCCCTTCCAGCCAATTCACTTTGCGCTTTGCCCATTTTGCTCAGGCGATATCACCTGTGTCGCCATCATCCCAGCCGCACATTCTCAGATTGACCGCCTACCGGAAGGGCGACGATGCAGCTCGGCGATCAAAGCCCTCGCAGTGATTGAATCGCATCATGGAATCGAGTGATCGAGTCACCAAACTGAGGCCCTCTCTCCGAAGCCTTTGGGGTACCTTGGGCTCAAACCTACGGACTCAGATGCCTCCAGCGACGAGGATGCGCCTTGTATCGGATATCGGCTACTTGTCACCAGCCTGATGAACTGGTGCCCGAGCTTGACAGGGGTGTTGGCCAAGGTGCGCGTGAGGCCGATGCAGCGCTTGGTCTCCAAGAATGCAGTCTCTGACGACTCGGACGAGGCAAGCCTCCCAAAGTGACGCCGCGCATGGCGCAATTAGCGCGGTTGGCGCAGTTGGCACAGTTGAGTGGATTGCAACAAACAGTCTGAAGATGAATTTGGATATTTCCACGGGATGAAACGCGTTGACGCGCTGAGCTGATTTTCATAGATCCGGACACTTCTCTTGCACGAGAAACTTCCGTAGCAATCGGTGTCGCGTGGGAGGAACCAGGCAGCATGCTGAGCAAAGATGTGCCTAGGCAACACAGACCTCTGCAGAGTCCGAGCTGAAGACGCCCAAGCTTGTGGTGGGGGCCAGGCCGAAGCCGCAGCTTTGGACGGACCCAAAGCTAGAGCTCTCGCGGACTCCCCCGAAGCTAATGCGTGCGCAGACAGCCGACTTCACTCCGAAGCCTGTGCCTTGGCAGGCTTTACACTTTGCATCTTCAGGTCACATGTTTACAGTTTACATATGTTTAATAAAATATATATTACATATGTGGGGTTGTCGCGCAAAGAGCTCTGTGCAATTGAGGAGGGGTTCCATCCATATACTCCGACCACAGCGCCAAAGATGCTGCTGCCTGCAAAGGCACCCGTGTTCGAATGCGCAAGGGTCAAAGCTTTCATGTCATGTGGCGGTTTGGCACAGGTCGCACCTATGTGCAGACGGTCTTCCATGGATGCTGAGCCAGCAGTGGCGACACTTCCGCTTCCAAATCATCCAGAGGTGGAGGACACAAGAGCCATGTGGCCCGTGGGCGCCATGCTACCAGCCTGTGTCGCTTGCTCTCGTTGTGCAACGTGAGGCCTTGCCAAGTCCTCTGCCTTGACCTTGATAAAACGAATGCAAAGCAACATGGCCTTGTATGGCTAGTGGCTATGCTTCTGGAGTTCAAGACCATTCGCCATGCATGAAACGAACATGTTGTTTGGTAAAACTAGCTTCCAAAGCTACTTATGCTTGAGGAACTTATCAACAACTTGCAGGACAGAAACTATCCCTCAGAGGGAAAAGGTATTACACCCTGGGATTTCACTTTGTTCCCCGACGAATTCGTTCTTAATAGGAACTAATTTGTTATATTTCGATCAATTTTGCTTTATTTTGTTTTATTTTGATCCATTTGCGGCTTGTGTGGGGCATGTCCAAGAAGCAAGAACCCCTGTCCCCCGTAGTTCAAACACCCGCGTGTGTCATCGCCAATGCTTTCCTTTCACGCTTCGGACGGATCGATGTCGCAAGTCCTACTTTGCGGGTTTGCCTTTCCTGGTGAAACAGGAAGTTTTGAGGTGGTCCCCACCTCGACATTTGAAGCTTTTGGACCCCAACAATCCCCCGAGAAGAAAAACCGCCAAAATCAATCAAAATAATTCAAGAGTTGGGTGTAATACCTTTCACCCAACGGTATTCGAGTTATCAAGCTGTTTGTTAAACGCAGCTGAGCCGCTAGATGGCAACGATTGTTCCATTCAGCCCAATAGACTGGACCCACTCTCAATGGATTTTGTAAGAAGAAAGTCAAGCGAAGAAAACCAAAAAAACAACATAAGTCAAAATAAGTAGGAATGAGGGCGTAATCTCGGGGTGCAATACATTTTTTCTCTGAATCCCACAGAACTGCCGAGACAAATAGAACGCACGCCTCAGCAAAGCGGCCACTACTCAAATGCTATAGCACACCGCGCAAAAGATCACTTCCCAAATTCAGCACACATGACAAAGGGCACCCCAGCCACCCACGCTTCCTAGCAAAGGACCCACCACGTAAATGCTTCAGCACACATAGCTATGAGAGCGTCCGTTTTCCAATCAAGGTCTTCAACGCAAAGCAATATCCAAGACCTTCCGCATCAATCAATTTAATTTGGAAGACAGCCTTCATTGTCCTGATGCATGGACTTCAACCATGAGTTTCCGAAGCAAGGGTTGTGAAACCTGTTGCCCGAAAGCGCTCCGGCAGAAGAGAGCCTTGGATTGGGGAACGCAAGTGTGCGTGTCACTGACGTCATGGCTTACAGGCCTGCCACAGGCCTGCCACAGGCCTGCCACAGGCTTGCCACTGGCCTGCCACATGCCCCTTCATGAAACAGTGCGAGGGCTCGGAAGGCAAGCTGCGAGGATTCAAAGGCAGACGAAGACGGCCACTCTGCGGTGCCTGACGAGGAGCGGGGAGAGAATAGGAAGGAAAAAGTGCATGGAATCACCAGGGTCGACAGTTGGCCATGCTTTGATAGGGCAGTGCGCGGCCGTCCAAGTCTTCCAAGTCTTCCAAGTCTTCCAAGTCTTCCAAGTCTTCCACGACGTCGTCCTCCAGCTCCGACTCTGCCAGCTTCGCAAGCTCCAGTGACGCATCTTGCTTGCGAGAGTGCACTCGATCACCTTTGAAACTCAACAACAAAAGAAAGGCGTTGCACCCAAGGATGCGAAGCCCAAGAACCTGCCCAACAGTCGCTTGGACTCGGCAGGGGGATCAGTTCCAGTGCTAGGTTCAAAAGGAGAACGTCAAACATACGAAAGCGTTGGAGAGGGCTTCCAGTTCGCCACATTCTCCAAGGTCACCTGTCCAAGTGTGTGCACTCAATGGTTCTGAGTTGACTGTTGTTTTGCAGCGACACCGCAGCATTGTGTTTGCAATAGATGGCATGAAGTATCAAGCAACTGCCCTTGGAGCAGGCAGATGCATACCGAGCGTTGGAAGCAGAAATGGTCAGTTCCATCAGACTTTGCCCCGTGTTGAATGCAACACAAATGTACATGGCTCAGAGGTCAGACCTATTTGCTCAGACTCAGACTTCGACTTATCACATTGGGCGAAGACTCATGTTAGGCACGAAAGACACGCTGGAGGCTCCGAGAAAATGTGGTCTACGGCCCGGATGTTGCAGGATCAAAGGGTGCAGATAATTCTTCCAGCCTGTTCATGAATACGAGTGCAAATTCTGTCAAGGGATGGGCGGTATAGTGTTTGCTGAAGTGTAGGTAAAGAGAATGCATTCATTGCCTGACAACCGAACTGACCTGTTGCAATCTAAGGGCTGACCCAAAAGCGGCCCAGCAACGCCTCTTTGTCGCAATTCTTCAAGCGGGAGCCCGCGGTCTCGCGTGTGTGGCTGTTCTTGCAGGCGCGGACTCGGATTCCGTTGGGAGATGTGAGCCTTTCCAACTCCAGAGTTGCATCGCTAGGACCCCGACTCGAGTACCTCTGCCTGGTACTATGCCAACATCATGAACTACTTCTTGACACTCACGATCCTTTTCACCATTTGGCAAGCGGGCTCCGAGCCTGTCGTCTCCAGATTTGAGGAGGGCATCGTGCAGGTCAGCATCGAGGCGCCGTGCCAAGACGTGCCAAGCCGTGCTGCCGTTTTGTGGTCATCCACTTTGGTTGTCAAATTGTAAATGTAAGTGCGGGCCGTTCAGGGCATTTTGCTGGTGGAGTTCGTGGTGCACTGGTTATCCTCTGCGTCTAGGAGGGTGCCTTGGAGTTGGACACGCACAAATCCACACGCACACCGCAATGCACACACACGCAACACACACACACGCACATCACACACACACACTCAACACACACGCAACACACACACACACACCACACACAGAGAGCGCACACACACACACACAAAACACACAACACACACACACAAACACAACACACAGACACACACACACACACAAACACGCACACAACACACACACACACTACAAACAAACACAAGCACGCACAACCACACACAAACACACACACACACAACCACACACAAACACGCACACAACGCACACAATACAAACAAACACAAGCACACACAACCACACACACACACAAACACGCGCACAGAAACAAGCACGCGAACAAACTTACGCATGCACAAACAAACACGCACACACACACACACACAAGCACACACACACAAAGAGAAACAAACACACACACACACACAACACACACGCAACTCACACACAACACACACACACAACCACAAACAAACAAGCACACACCGCACACACGCACAATACACACACACACAAACACAACACACACACAACCACACACGCACACAACACGCACAATACACACAAACACAACCCCACACACAATCACACACAAACACACACACACAAGCACACACACACAGAGAAACAAGCAGACACACGCAACAAACTCACACACACAAACAAACACAAAAACAATACACACACACAAACCAACAAGCAATTGAGCGAGCGAACAAACACACAAACACAAACACGAACAAGCAAGCAAGCAAGGAAGGAAGCAAACAAGCAAGCAAGCAATCAAGCAAGCAATCAAGCACGCACGCACGCACGCACGCACGCACGCACGCACGCACGCACGCACGCACGCACGCACGCACGCACGCACGCACGCACGCACGCACGCACGCACGCACGCACGCACGCACGCACGCACGCACGCACGCACGCACGCACGCACGCACGCACGCACGCACGCACGCACGCACGCACGCACGCACGCACACACAAACACGCACACACCCACACCCACACAAACACACACAAACACGAACACACCCACACCCACAGACACACACACACACACACACACGCACACGCACACGCACACACACACAAACATGCAAACGGGGCGCGTAGAGAATCAGGAGAGCCTGCGGCATCTAAGGCTTTTTTGAGAAATCCATACAATGTGGTTGACCTCGCAGCAATCCTTCCGATGGCTCTTCGCATCGCGTATGGCCTGTCGGCTCCGTCCGTCATTGAGAACCCCATTGTGCACTTTGTACTGTACTGCTACGTGCCAGTGGTGCGGCAGCTGAAATTCATTCGAAAGTTCCTGAAGCTGCAGCTGCTGCTGTCGCCTGTCGCACAGCGCACCTTTGCACCATGCCTCATCCATTGCTTTGTTTGCATTTTCTGAGGCATGTTCTGTCTACCACACTGGATGCTCTGAAGCTCCTGCTTTTTCTGGTCTGCCTGATTGACGCTTGTCGTGAGATTGATATGCACTCATCGGATTGACGCACCTATGACTTGAGTCAATTCCCGGGCCCAGGTGGTTTTTTTTGGATGTGTGCTGTACATTCTGGAGCCGGAGCAAACACAGTCTTTGCCGACCGCCATATACCTCTGCACTGTGACTGTTACGACGGTCGGAACTTGTACCTCAGCGTCTAACTTGTATACTCGGTGTATTTTTGCCATGCGTTGACTCGTGAGATGAGGTGACATGAATCCAGTCTCCTGGCCTGGAAAGATCATAGCGGGAATTCTTTGCTTGATTAGCGTGCTGTTCATGGCAATGCCCCTGTCCGTGCAGCCCTCAGATTGCGGCCGCGGGTTTCACTGACGGGAATGGGCCCAGGTCTTGGGGAATGCCATGTCCAACACTTGGGCAGATCGGCACCGTATTCTATTGATGACGCAGACGCGGCGGCGCCTGAAGAACTTGGGATACTCTGCAGGCAGGGCTTGCGGTGAAAAAAGGCCACCATGGGCACCATGGGCGCCCCAAAAACAAATGCCCTTTGCAGATGACATGCCGAAGCTCTTCAAGAAGTTTGATCGTGATGGCAACGGAGAACTGGAGATGGAAGAGTTCTGTGAAGCTGTGGCAGCAAAGTGGAGCTTGACCGCTTTGCTTGCTTGCCGTGGTATGCTTGATGCAAGCCATGATTTCATCAGGGCTGAGACTGGGGGCAAGGCTGGCTTGAGAGCCCTTAGGATTTGGTGGCCACCATGCGGGTTGGTGTCAAGCCTACAGAGGACATGTTGGCCGTTTGTGCTGCGTCTATCTTCGTCTGTTTGTGAGGGGTGGCTTCCATAGGCTGTGTCTCACGTTTCCAGGCCTCAGAGCTTTTCAATGCCTTCGACTCCAACGGAGACGGGGGCATCAACGAAATGGAATTCATGAAGGCACTCTTTCCCTTGGACTACCGCCGCATCTACCGACGAATGTCTGGCATCACCTTCGGCACGTAGCACACGTAGCACACGTAGCACACGTAGCACACGTAGCACACGTAGCACACGTACTTGTGAAGCACTCCGAGCACGCATGCAGGAAAGGATCAAGGGATCAAGGGATCAAGGATCTCTTTTCGATCTCTTTTTTTTTCGTTTCACGCAGAACAAGCGCCTAAGGTGCCGTAGTATAACATGTTGTGTCGGTCCTCCAGGACTGAGGCATTGCCATACAAAAAGCGTTGGCCAGCGCAACGGGTCAGGTGACGGGGCACCAGGTGGAAGTTGTTGGCACCATGCAAGGTGGGTGTTCGTTTTTGCGCGCCAATGTCGCCTGGTAGGCAAGGCCTGTGAAAGCCACACCTGTCCTGAACCAAAGGCCGATTTCGCCGGGTGCAAGGCACCTTTCTCATGGCAACCCAGTTCTTCCAACGGAGTTAATAAGGCGAGGCCCACTTCGAAGCAAGCTAGCAGCGCCTCAGCTCGTGCCACGTTTGCGCAATGCTTGCTTCACTTGCATCGAACCCGCAGATGTCCTGGATATCGACATGTAGCCACTGCATGCCTTGGAGGTTGCAAGACAAAGGGCACCACAGATTGAGCAATCTCAGACATCGCATCACAAGCGACTGGCGTTGAAGACAACGCCCATGAGGCGGTGGGCTTAGCTGTCGAGCTCAGAATTGGTCTTGAACTGATCAATACTTGGGGCAAGGCGCGCCTCGCGCCGTGCACGCGGTGCGCTTGGCTTGCTGCCCGCGGCCCAGGCTTTGCAATGCCGGATTCGCTGGGATTCGCTGGGGTTCGCTGGGATTCGCTGGCGTTCGCTGGGATTCGCTGGGATTCGCTGGGATTCGCTGGGGTTCGCTGGTTCACTTGAACTTGCGGCGCCGAGGCTGGGCCACCGCCTGCGCTGCCAGGAGGAGGATGGTGGTGCCCCGGCCGGAATCGGAAGGGGGTCGGATGTGCGTTCAAGGCACGAGCTTTGGTGGAAGGTCGGTTCCAGGGCAATGAAAGACTGGAAAGGACAGAAGGGAATGAATGGCCGAGGTTTGATTGGTTCTGAGGTGTGCCAGCAAGGCCCTGCACCGCGGGCGTCTTTGTGGTAGAGAAGCCGCTGCTGGGACGGGAGAACGGGGGCAGGGCGAGAGCATCAGTTAGAAACTGAGAAAATCAGAGCCGGAAGGAATCAGCCGGAGAGATTCTGAGCGACCAGGCATTTGAGCTGGTGCAAAGCGTATGGAACAGGTGAGATTGAGGCAAAGCTTGCTTTGAGTTGCAAACTGTCAGCAATGTGCTCTTGCCCAAAGAACATGCGAAAATGGTATGGGCTAAAGACTCCAGTCCTTGCTTGTTCCCGTTTCTGTGGAAATGGGTAGCAGAGTAAAGACATGTGTTTGTCAAGGCGCAACTTATGAGTCATTGCTTGTTTGCCTGGAGTGGGTCTGCATCATTGCCCTGCATCCCTTTGGCATTGCACTGGTTGCCACGTGCATCAGGCACAAAGGGGGTGCACATTGTTTGCAGCCATCGGCAGGTGCGAGGCACCTTGTTGCTTCCTATGACAGCCTCCTTGTGTCCATGTTTTTTTTTTGGCGAGTCTCATCTGTTGCTGCCTTGCGGCGTGGTGAAGCAGGTGGTATCATAATCCTTCGTCGGCAGGACGCGGAGCAATCACAGGAAACAAGCAGTAAATGCGGGGGAGGGGCATGCGCTGAGGGTGCCATTGGAGCAGCTGCAGGAGGAGGCCGGGTTAGGCGGTTAGGCGGTTCGGCAAACTCCTTTCAGTCTTGCCACTCGGTTCAGTCGGTTCAGTTTAGGATGTGGTCTTTGTGGGCAGCGCCTTTGCCTACAACAACTGCTGCCTTGCCACCTGTGCACATCTCTTCGAGCGGAGGCTGGTATGCCGCATTGCTTGGAACATGCCGGACTGGGCACGTGAAAAGCAGCTTGGAAGTCGCTTGCAAGTCGCGCAGTAGATTTTGAGCATCTTTGCGGTGGGGTTCTCCACCCTTTTGGCTTCAGCTGAAATGAGAAGACCGGGAGCACGGAGCAAGGAACAGGCAGCCGTACTGGATGATCCTTCTGTGAACTGGAAGGATGCTAAAGAGGAAAGATGTATATTATATATTTAAATTTGCATGCCTAGCGCACAATGCGCAGCATTCTGGTCGTCTACTTCCCGCTTGCATATGGAACAAGTAGCTGCCTGGTTGCCCTAGTGTTGCTTCCAACAAAAGCGGTTCAGCGGTGACTTGTGCGACCAGGCGAGTGCGACGACCTTCCGAGCCGTGTCCAGCAAGGCCTGGTGGGTGCGCTGGGCGACGCCTGGAACCCAGGCCGGCGGCTCGGCTCGGCGTGGCTCGGCGCGGCTGGTCGCCGGTGAGTGTCGCCTGCGCGAGGCGACGGCAATGAGATCTTGGAGGAGGCAGACCAGAACGAGCAGAACGAGCGGAACGAGCAAAGCGGATTTTGAGCACACGGGGAACCGATGTTTGAATCGCAAGTTTGGAGTCTTACCGTGAATTTCGATCCGTCTTCGATCATTTGGTTTTGGAGACGTGACAGGCTTGCTCTCCGCTGGGCCTGGAGCTGCTGCAGGCGCTACGGGCCGTGGCTGTCTCCGGCTTCGAGTTCCGGCGCTGCGCCAACGCCTGGAGGACGCGACGTGCAGCGCGCGAGACTTGTGATGAGATGTTGAAAGGGATTGGGGGGTTTGTGGGGTTTTGAGAGGTGTACGTGTGGCAAAAGATAAAGGAAGGATGCAACTCGAATTAGACGCGAAAGTTCATGCGCCAGGAGATGGGCCGAGTACGCTCATGAGTCTGAGCCTGATCGAGGCGCACATTCATCAGGGATTGTGACATGACCCCAAAGAAATACACACCGCTGATCTAGTCCACATTTGGTGGTTGAGCAATGTGAAGCCAAATATGCCCGCGTTTCCGGATGTTTGCTCCCCCTCAAGGCCATGATGAATATGGCTGTGGGTCAACACCAATGGTACCATTCTGGGATAGGTGTAGTCTATTTTAGTGGGGATTGGGATGTTCACTGGAGGTGCGGGGTTTTGACCCATAGCCACATGGCTACAATCCGTTAAGAAGGACGACAGGTACACAATGCTGCGATGTGACCTGATCTACTGTATGGAGTCAGTTGGCAAAGGAGTTAACCTCCGACATCAATGGAAAGCAGACAATGCCTCAGGTGTGGGTACGTGGAAACGTGGGCATTTGTAAGCTCAGGAGATGAGGGGCACTGGTTTTTGATTGACCCGACGAACCGCTTGAAATTCTGCTGACGTTGTGGTTCTTGAGCATTGGCCGTTTGGGTTGGCGCCGGGTTGGACTACGGAGGCTGGAGCCCCGCTGCGCGGCAGGCGCTGCTGCAGCTGCAGCGGGGTGCCGCTCCGGAGGCTCGAGACTCCGTTTTCCAGCGCTCGCACGGTTTCCGCTGCCCTTCGCAAGGGTCCCCGAAGTTCTCCCTTCCTTGCCGTTTTGTATAGAATCCTCTTCCCCGTTTTCTATATAAGGATGTGGCGGGGCACCACGTCGACCTGGAAGCGGCCGCTCGACTGCCAGCACCTTGGCAGCTTGAAAGCCAGAACGTGAAGTGAGCACTCTTGGTCCTAGTCAGGTGAGTCGTCTCAGGCACTCTTGCTCTTGGCGGAGCACGTGGATGACGACGGTCTGGCTATGGCCTCGCACGAGATGCAGAGGATCACCCACGAGAATCCCAAGGCGCGGTTCACTCGCAAGCCGGTCGATTCTCGGCATGCCAGTATATGTTTTATGATATGATATGCCATTTTGCCAATTTTAACGCCTCCGGCTCAGGCCGACATTACAGGCCTGCTTTCTTATTTGCGTCCCTTTGGAATTGTCCCCTTGCCCCCCTTCCCCTCAGATTTTTGCCCCCCTTTCCCTGTTGAGATCCATTCCCCCTTTCCCCCCTAAGGCCCTTTCTCCCTCTGAGATTTTTTCCCTTTTCCCTAAGATGTGTTCCCCCCTCTTTTTGTTGAGATCCTTTCCCCCCTTTCCCCCCTAAGGCCTTTTCCCCCCTGAGATCTTCTCCCTTTTCCTCCCTAAGATCTTTTCCCACCTTTCCCTATTGAGGTCCTTTCCCCCCTGTCCCCCCTAAGGCCTTTTCCCACCCTGAGTTCTTCTCCCTTTTCCTCCCAAAGATCTTTCCCCCCCTTTCCCCCCTAAGGCCTTTTCCCCCCCTGAGATCTGTTCCCTTTCCTCCCTGAGATCTTTCCCCCCCTTTCCCTGTTGAGATCCTTTCCCCCCTTTCCCCCCTAAGGCTGAGATCTTCTCCCTGTTCGTCCCTAAGATCCTTTGCCCCCTTTCCCTGTTGAAATCCTTTCCCCTCTTCCCCCTAAGGCCTTTCCAGATCTTCTCCCTTTTCCTTCCTAAGATTTTTTCCCTGTTGAGATCCTTCCCACCCTTTCCCCCCTAAGGCCTTCCCTTCCCTGAGAGCTTCTCCCTTTTCCTTCCTAAGATCTTTCCCCCCCTTTCCTTGTTGGCCTTGTTTCTCCCAGATCTTCTCCCTTTCCTCCCTAAGATCTTTTCCACCCCTTTCCCTGTTGAGATCATTTCTCCCCTTTCCCACCTAAGGCCTTTCCCCCCCTGAGATTTTCTCCCTTTTCCGATCTTTTGTCCCGGTTGAGACCCTTTCCCCCTTTCCCCCCAAGATCTTCTCCCTTTTCCTCCCTAGGATCTTTTCTCCCTGTCCATGTTGAGATCCTTTCCCCCCCTTTCCCCCCTAAGGCATTTTCAGATCTTCTCCCTTTTCCTCCCTAACATCCTTTGCCCCCTTTCCCTGCTGAGATCCTTTCCCCCTTTCCCCCCCCAATTAAGGCCTTTCCCCCCCTGAGATCTTAAGGCCCTCCCCCGTGAGACCTTCTCGCTTTTCGATCCTTTCCCCCTTTCCCCCCTAAGGCCTTTTCCCCCCGTAAATCATCTCCCTTTTCCTCCCTAAGATGTTTTTCCCCCCTTTCCCCCCGTTCCCCCCTAAGGCCTTTTCCCCCCTGAGATCTTCTCCCTTTTCCTCCCTAAGATCTTTTCCCACCTTTCTTTATTGAGATCCTGTCCCCCCTGTCCCCCGTAAAGCCTTTTCCCACCCTGAGTTCTTCTCCCTTTTCCTCCCAAAGATCTTTTCCCCCCTTTCCCCCCTAAGGCATTTTTTCCCCAGATCTTCTCCCTTTATCTTTCCCCCCCTTTCCGTGTTGAGATCCGTTCCCCCCTTTCCCCCCTTTCCCCCCAAAGGCCTGTCCCCCGCGCTGAGATCTTCTCCCTTTTCCTCCCTAAGATCCTTTGCCCCCTTTCCCTGTTGAGATCCTTTCCCCCCATTCCTCTAAGGCCTTCCAGGTCCTCTCCTTTTCCTCTCTAAGATCTTTTCCCCCCTTTCCCTGTTGAGATCCTTCCCACCCTTTCCCCCCCTAAGGCCTTTCCAGAGCTTCTCCCTTTTCCTTCCTAAGATCTTTCCCCCCCTTTCCCTGCTGGCCTTTTTTCCACCAGATCTTCTCCCTTCCTCCCTAAGATCTTTTCCACCCCTTTCCCTGTTGGGGAGAGATCCGTCAAGCCGAAGGTCACCATGGAGTATCGCAATCCCGAGAACCTAGAAGAGTTCATCAAGGAATTCAAGGAGATATACATTGAAATAGACATGAACAAGAAGGACGCCGAGGAAGAGCTTGAGGAGACCAAAAGGAACTTCATCCGCTTCATGGAGAAGTACAACAGGGATCCAAAGAGAGCTCATCCCAAATTGACAGAATGCGAGCGAGCCTCATTGGCACATGTCGATCCAAATGTCAACCTCGATGAAGAAGAATTCTATTTCCACCATCGAGGAGGAGAATGGCCATCCATGGAAGAGTTCAGGAAGGCACAGCCAGTATCAGGATATCCGATCAAGCTTCCAATTGGCTTGAAGAAGCTCAGAGCATATGACAAACCAGAGGTCATCCAAGCATTTGCTGATATCCTGGGACCGTTCCCCTGTGGACCATCTCAAGGCACATGAGTTCACCTCATCCCTGACGATCAACATGCTCACCATGAACCACGGAAACCTTACGAGGAATCCAAAGCTGGACAACAAGGAGGTGAATAACATGGCGATGAAGGATCGACCAATCATGAAGATCATGATGCAGAACAGCGCGCGCATCATCTGCCTAAATGAAGCAGACGCATTCCTCAGTCCTCAAGATGAGAAATCCAAGGAACTCATCAAGACGTTCATCCGGTTTGGATACAAGGGCATAGTTATCAAGCAATGGTCATCCAGACCAATCGCATGCTTTGTCCGCGGCGGACCTTCCGCAAGAGTGGAACTATTGGCACGGCACATTTCCACAAGGAGTCAAAACTGGGGAACTACATTCGGTATGTTCAGATGCTTCTTCGGAATGATGCCGAATACGACATCCCGACCTCTGACTGCCTGGCAACCACAGGAACATCCATGTTCATGGAATCCAAGAAGTAGATTGGACCGAGGTTGCCGCCACGCACAACTGTCCAAGGACATGGGCGCAACAAGGAAATTGTCGTCATCCACATCGAGCAAAGTGATGAATTTCGTGGCGTGTTTCCAAAGTCATCCAATGACTCACTCCTCGAATTCGACAGCCGCCATGTAACGAGGGCAGACCTCCCGTTTGCTACCATTGGAGTTTTTCACATCCATCCATCAATCAGTCATGGAGCAGCACGGGACGATTTTCAATCCGAAATCATGCCGCTCGTGCCATTGTGTCAATGCGATGCGATCACCGGAGACGCCAACAAGTCCGCGAACACCTACAACAAACTCCAACACGTCTACAATCCGGCCAACGGCCTCATGAATATCCTCATGAAGGCATACCAGAGATTGTGGAATGAAACGGAGAACTTGCCACTCGTGGACAGAATGGAATATGCAATGGAGACTTCCTGCACCCTGAAATCCATCGTCCGTCATCACCTATACATGAAGACTGGATCCGGGTTTGATCGAACATTCCCAGATGTTATGATGACTTTCGTATTTGAATGGGGCAAAACAAACATCCAGCAGGTTTTCCGGAAGGAAGAGATGAACGCAATGAAAGATGATCAACTGGAAACCATGCGGAACGACCCTACGTCTGCCGTTTTCGACTATCAGGTCTCATCCGCGGAACGCTTCAAGCACGTGAACAACGAGATGCTCATGACTGGCTCTCAAGATTCCGATTCACACAGTCCGCTGATGGTCTACATCCGCAGCAGATCTGCCACCAAGCAGCGAAACTTTGAGCGATCCAAGGAGTACCTCAAGAAGAAGCAACCCTGGACTCAGCAAGAGTACAAGGAATACAACAAGCAGCAGCGGGGCAATCCGAAGCAGTGGAAGGACTACGGCAACTCGACCTGGAACGACTACGGAGACTCCGGCAGTCAATCCGACAGCAGCTATCGGTGGTACCGTTGACTATCTGATGAAGCTGCCACCTTTGGCATCCATTCGACCTCCTTTGGTCTGAGTGATCCGCCAAGGAAAGAAGTTTTTCTGAAGCTCGACTGAGAGAACACCCGAAATCGGCACGACAAATTTCAACTGAATTGATCCTCACCGCCAACAAGACTATTCAGTGAGAGATCAATAGTTTCACATCCGTCCCGCATGCACATAGCGTTGTACATCATCTTTTAGTCTAGGTATCTCACAGAATCAGTACAGACTGTTTTCCATTTTGCAAATCAAAACATTTCATCCGCGCAGAAAACAGCATGAATCCAGCATTTCAATACACATGGCTACGGCGTAAATCAAGGCTACGGCCAAGGGCCATGAAGCCAAAGATATTTCACATCTAGTGCTGGAGATCAAAAGAATTTTGTGTTTGTTTTGTGCTTGGTTTGTTGAGCACTTGATCTCCTGCAACCATTGGCTCAAGGCCCTTCTATTTCAATTGTACAGTCATCAGACGCATGGTGCATTGATAAAAGGCTTGCAGACCGCTTTACAGGTATAACAGTCAATCCAAGCCACCAGGGACAATCCATCCTCCAATCATCCATATTGGCATATTGGACTCTCTCTCGAATAGATCCAGGGGCCGAATAAACGGCACCCCCGCCAGTGGGCCTCACCCCCCCCCGCAATAGTCTGAAACCGTGGTTCTGGGGAGGGGGGTAACAGGTAAAGAGGTAAGGAGCATTTCTTATGTCCAACACGCCGCCTTGTTGTCGGCGGATATTTTCTGCGAATCTAAGAATCTATGCCTCAAGTTCGACAGGCGCTGCAGGCCGGGGAGTTCTTCCTTCGCAGCGCTCTGGCGCTGCTCCGGGCTCCGTGTCGGGGGGCCATGGCCATGGCAGCGGCGCTGAGGGCTGCCGCCGCGCCGCGGCTCCCGGGGCTCCCAGGGTGCGGCTCCGGGCTGCAGGCCTTGGTGGAGGAGGCAAGCAAAAGGAAAGGGAAAGAAACGACGAGAAATGAGGAGAAATGAGGAGAAAGGGAGAGAAAGGGAGAGAAAGGGAGAGAAAGGGAGAGGTGGGGAGGTGCAAGGAGATCAACACACTGCTTAGGTTCTGTCCGAAGTTCAAAGCCGAGAAGCTGTCCGGGCACAGCTGGGAGATCTCACTGGGCCGCTGGCGGCATTTCACTCTGACGCAGAGGCAAGCGACTTGAGCTTTTTGGATTTCTGTGTCAGGTCCACCTTGCGTTAGGTGTTGCCTTGCCTTTGACCTCTCATTTGTTTGTTTCCTTGGGAGGATGCGTGATGATTTGATTAAGATGCATGGATGTGTGCGATGTGCAAATGCAGGTTTGGATGTGTGATTTCTCACGGCGATGGTGCCTGTCTTCAATGTCCCCAACGTGTTAGTCTTTGCACAGACACCAGGACTCCATGTTGAACATTCATCCCGCAAAACCTGTCTGACAAGCAAGGCAGATCCGCGCAAACACTGTTTTCTTGCTGGGTTTCGAATTGTTTCATGAGCAACTTGACCTCGCCAGGTCTTGGGACGCTTGACCTCCAGCGGTGGGGCCCCGGGCGACGAGGCAGGCTGACCGCGTTTCGTGACCGCTGCGTTTCGTCGAGTTCGCTTTGCCAAAGGTAAACAGCGCGAAGACCTCCTTTGCGATCCCGGCCATCCTGTGGTTTGCCCGGCGCTCGGGGCCTCAGGGCTTCAGGGCCTCAGGGCTTCAGGGCTTGCCCAGACTCTCCGCGCACATGCGGTGCCCACCCACACTTTGTGTGCTCCGCGTGTGGAAACCTTGCACTCCAAGAGGTCTTGGCCTACGAGACAGCGGACGCCGCGCTGCACGCCAGCAGCGCGTTGGGCGGGGATGGTCAGTGGAGCCGTGCCTTTTTCGTGGGGCTGCTGCTGGGCTGCCGCGACGGTGTGGCTTGGCCGAATGTGCTTGCTTGGTCCCTCTCGCGCCAGTGCATTGTCTGACTCTCAGCTGACCTTTGCAGGTGCCTGGTGCCAAGGAAGTGCAGTTGCCGCGGTTTCAGCCATTCGCGGGTCCTGCTCTGCAGCTCTGTAGGAAGCCAGGCAGCGGGGGAGTTGTGATCAGCTGCCGCATGGCGGATGTGTGATATTTCCTACTGCACGTGTACATACTGTAGCCCTGAAAGCTCCAGTGCAGTTGAGTTGACATAGCCAACGCTACCATATATCTGCAGCAGTCAAGGCTGTTGAGGTTTTTCGCAAGGCATTGGCCCTGGCGCGTCCAGCGTTTTGACAAGAGGAGGCCGAGATACACAGATAGATAGATGTAGAGAGAGAGAGAGAGAAAAGCAAAAAAAAACACGGAAAGGAAAGAAAGGAAACGAACAAATGGAAAGAAAGGAAAGAAAGGAAAGAACGGAAAGAAAGGAAAGAAAGGAAAGAAAGACAAGCAGGCATGCAGACAGACAGACAGTGAGGAAGGAAGGGAGCCCTAAACCATAAACCCTAAAGGGAACAATAGCTAGACGAAAGGCACAGACCAAGAGTGCGGGAAGAGCAGAGATCGATAGAAAGCGAGAGATAGAGAGAGAGAGAGAGAGACAAAGACAACCGAGAAGCACAGACGGGGAAAATAATGAGAAAACCAAATAGAAAGAGAGAAAATAAGAACAAGAAGGAGAACGAGAGCGAGCATGCGAGGAAGCAGGGAGAGAGGGAGGGACTTCCTCACGAGTATGGAGAGCGACAGGGATACAGACAGCGCGGACGGATATGCATCCCGCCTTGTTGGAGTTTTGAGACTTCGACCCGTGAGGCAATTGTCAAAGCTCCTCGCGGAGCCTGGATGGGGTGGTCGCAGACGCAGCGCTGGCGGAGGAGCCTTGCCAAGGCGATGGAGCCAGTACCCACTTTCCAAGGGTCAGGTGGAATTTTCAACTTGGCCCATTCGTTCGATTTCGTTCGCTTACATTCATTGGTAGAGGTGGAACATTGATCATCCCTCAGATCAGGCCTCTGCTATCGCATCTTCATGCGCTTCAACGCTAGTTCTCTGCTCCAAAGCCGAGCAGAGAGATTGACCATGCCGCCTGACTGGGATGAGGAGCTAGCTATGTGTTCCTCTCGTGTTGCGTAGCTCGCCACCATTCTGCTTGGCAAGCTATGAGGAGGAAGACGGTCCCTGGATTCCAGATGCTGGAGCGACATGTGTAGCTCGATACTTTCAGCCACCCGGCCATGCTTGGTTGCTGCCGTCTCATTTTGTCGTGTTGGCAAGACACGACACCGCATTTTTGACGCAAGGTTTACCACGGAGAGTGGTCGCCACGCTCCATTCGCGCTGTGGCCAGCCAATGCCTTGTGTGGCTTTTCTGCACGTGTGGCACCTGGGCCCAGAGCGCCTGCAGATTGCAGTGGCCTGAGGCAAGTTTTCGGAGGAGTCTCCTGTTTGGCACGACTCCTTCCAGGTGCATGGGAGCAACATTCAATCCCCGTCACTTTCGAGTTCCTTTTTGGTTTTCTTCGCTCGTGCTTTTCCTTTGCTCCACGAGGTGTCCGTCCCTGAGCCCCTGGTCGGGCTGATTGGGGGCGCCGTGCTGCAAGCAGGCGAGCAGTAGTGCTTTTCTTCCTGGCAGCAAAGTTGAAAACGAGCATGCTACTTGAAAGGAAGACGACCAGAGGACAAAGATGGAGAGATTGGAGACAGGGTTTGGACTGTGATGGAAAAAGTGTGCGTTCTTCATGCCCTCCTTTCCAGGCCGGCGTGTGGACGTGATGCTGCCCAGCCTCTCTTTGGATGCAAAGCCGGAGCCATGCCTCAGACGGCTTCAGCTTCCGAAGCTTCGTATTTCTTTAACATTCTAGTGGGCTCCGCAGTGAAGAACGGTGAAGAATATCGAAACTTGGTGCACTCAACGTTCTGCAGGAGTGGGCTCCGCTCTGCAGCAACGTTGGGCGGGTCAAGCTACCGCAGGGCGAGTGGATTGAGACATCGCTTTGACCCGAAAAGGAGCTGCGGCGTATGCTTCATGCAGGTCTCAATCTTTGGCAGAAAGGGGTTAAGCCGAAGGGAAGGGAAAGAGAGCATGACACAGCGACAGAATACGTGAAATGCGAAGAGGAAGGCTCATGTATCAATGTATCTTCCCATATCTTCCCTTTGTGGCACTTGTGGCACTTGTGGCAGGCGCGAAAAGGAAAGCCGGCGCCTGCTGCTGCGCTTCGGGGACGGGCGGCTGGCCTCCGCAGAGCTGATGGGCTTGTCTGCCGCTGCGGACGTGGCGGCCAGCGCCTCGAAGAGGCGAGAGAGCAGCGAGAGCAGCAAGTAGCAAGGCGCGCAGGAATTGCGAGGAATTGCGAAAAGGCGCTAGGAATTGCTAGGAGCCAAAGGCGACAAGAAATCTAAGGTCTTGAAGTTGCAGGGGACGCAAGCCAAGCCGCTGCGGTTCAACGACACCTTGCCCAGGCAGGCAGCAATATGTTTTTTGTTTTGTTGATGCGTTATTTCTGCATTTTGTTTGGTATACTCATGCTTTTCAATTGTGTTTGGTGATCCCAAAGATCAGAGAACTGAGGCAAGGTGACCAAGTCTCGGTGTGCGGCATGACTCAGCACGGCTTGGAGGCGCCACGCCCCAAGTGCCCCAGTTGGGGTGTTGTTGCACCCTTTTTTTGCATCTTGCAGGCAGTGAGCCTCTCTGGACATGTGAGCCAACCCAGGCTGGAGTTGAGGAGGAAATCCAAGGTACGCACACCCACACCCACGTGCACACGCAACACCCACACTCACACTCACACTCACACTCACACTCACACCAACCCACACCCACACCCACACCCACACCCACACCCACACCCACACCCACACCCACACCCACACCCACACCCACACCCACACCCACACCCACACCCACACCCACACCCACATCCACATCCACATCCACATCCACATCCACATCCACATCCACCCCACCCCACCCCACCCCACCCCACACCCACCCACCCACCTGGAAAATAGTTCTTCTTAAAGTTCACGCTATCTGGATTTTTCTGTCATCATGCGCTGGCCTTTTCGGCAAACTGAAAGGACACAACTTTCCATAGAGGTTTTTGGCTTCGTGTGTTATGCCATGCAGCGGCACAAATGCAACCTGGATGCTAGTTGCAGGTAGATCAGCTCAGGCTCCCGTCCCCGGCTGTTTGTGGCCTTCGCGCATGCCTCAAACCAAAGCGAAGAAGAACCTTAGCTACTTACAATCACGGCATGGTACATTACAGCCATACGCATCATGCCGCCAGTTCTTGGCCGCTTATCACATGGAGGCGTCGTCAAGCGTGTCAAAGTTGGACAAAGAACCAGGTACCAGGTAGGTTTCGACACAAAGACAGGGCCACTCAATACTATCGGGGTGTTGTCAGACAATTGAATCTGATGAAAGGGAGGCTGCGACCTTCAGAGTCCTTAAGTGCCAACATGTCTTTGCAATCAGATGTGCAAACGCACACACACACATACTCCATGTAGGACTTGCGAGCATCTGTGAGCCATCCTGCTGTGGCATTTCTCAATGCCCGCAACCAAGCCGAACAAGCGGCCCCAAAGTAGCTCCCAGCAGTTTCGGCACGGTGCATTTTCCATATGTTTCTATCAGTTTTCTAATTTTGGTTCATTTTGTTCATTCTCAAGCCTGGAGAAGCGGCGGGCGGCTGCCAGTTGATTCTCGCTGGGCAGGCAGCGGTTCCGTGGTTTGGGAGAAGACCCAGCCACTCGCTTCGTCCAGCTGGCCCTGCCCACTCTGCCTGGCATGCAGGTGGCTCAGGTTGAGGTCTGAGTTGCTTTCCATCGCGCACGGTTGGCTGTGAGGTCGGGATCTCCTGTGCTCGACAAGGATGGCAAGGTCGGGAAAGTTGGGCAGTTGGGCAGTTGCAAAGGCTAGCCCCAGAGGTGGTCGCCATGGTCGCCAAGAAGTTTGAAGAGCACGGCCTGGCCATCCCTGCAACAAGGCCAGGATTTCCCAGGCTCACTTTGGGCGCCTTTGTCTGCGTTGACTGTTGATTGCATGCGTTTTGGCAGGGTGCGCCAGGTGGCCGAGTGTCTGGAGGCCGCAGCTTCAGCTGCTTCAGCTGCTTCAGCTCCAGCTTCTTTCCTTGTGCAGGCGGGGCATCCCTGGCGCCTGCCCATGCTGGGCCTGGAGGTGCAAGCCGCAGGCACGCTGGCAGCTCCCGCTGTGCTGGTCAAGGCGGATGGGGAAGGAAGGCAGGAAGGCAGGAAGGCTGGCAAAATGGGAAGAGCGGAGAGACAAGCCATCGTGATAGAGCGGACGTAAGGGCGGGAGAGGCCTTGAAGCCTGGGAGCGCTGCTGGGGCCGCTGGAGTGGAGGCCTGGCTGAGCACAGCTGTGCGAGGTAGGCAGGTCGGGGCCGTCGAATGTTGGGAGGTGGGCGACGTGATTGTTGCCATCGACGATACACCGGTGGCCGGATATCTTCAGCGCAAATGCTGTTTTTGAAAGTCTTGCGCGATTTCAGTTCCGAGGCGAGCCTGCTGGACATGCGCGAGGCGCTGCTGGCGAGAGGCGACGCCCGCTTCCCTGCGCAGCTGCGGCTTCGGCTGAGGACGGCCCACGTAGCTTTTCCCAGCTGTTCGTGGTCAATAGCTACTGTAAGTAGCTATGGCTGGCAACGGCTGTTGGGAGTCATCGGTAAAAAGAGGGGTCAAATTGACAGGGTCCCTAAATGAGGCATCACCGCCCATCAAAAGGAAGCTCACTTACCAAATCGGGGACTCGCCCGACATTGGCTAGCCCGAAAAGATGATGGTAGCCGTCGTTTGTTTTGATTGGAAGAAGAGCCTTCTCTTGAGACAACCAGCTGCAACTACTTTTAGTCGTGAAGTTTGGGCTTACGCCATTGTTTGCAATGTACTGTTTTTCTGATTTCCAATCCCTTTTGACCGAAGGCGGAGCGAAGCCACACTGGAGCTGCTGGTCGAGACACCGCGCGGGTGAGAAACGTGTTGGTGCCATCCGTGGAACTTGGTACTTCGTTTGGCGATGTTGCTGGTTTTTTGTCGCTGGAGTTTGTCCACAGCGTTGGCATACTCTGAGTGCACGATATTGCCTGAGAGATCCTAAACAACACAACTTGACATCACAAAAGATTCTTCCAGGCAACTGTGGGAGCTCCATTGAGACGTATCAGAACATCAGGCATGAGTTCAAAACCTACCTGCAGAGGATAGGCATTTTGTCCCACTTCCAGATTAGAGTGTTTTGCAAGGCTTGCCTGCTGCTATGTGAGAGGTAGAACAGCTCAACCAAGATTGCAGCATGAGCACATCGTTGCAGGGGTGTTCGAGCAAATGTGGAATCGCCACCGGCAGCACAAAAACAGAAGCCAACCAAAGCAACGGCAGAAGCGCACCAGAGCCAGCCACAGAGTCAGCAGAGCTACGGACCCTCTTTGGGCAAGAGCACGCGTTTTACTTCTGAGTCTAGCTTTGGCCCACCATGTCTCGGCAGCCACTCAACTGAATGGCCGCCCGTTTCGTTCTGTGAATGCGGATTGCAGATTTGAGGCTGGATCTGATGAGCCTATCCTTCCATCGGCGCTGGGAGAAGGTACGAGAGCAGAAGGAAGAGCTGCGCATCGCCACCGCTTGCAGGTTGGTGTGCGAGCTGACCTGGAGGCGCCCGACAGAACGTGTCCGTTCCGCGTAGCTTCCCGCTCGCACTGGTGCAGTGCAGGATCTACTGCACCCACCACCGTTGGAGGGACATGAGCAGAGCTTCAGCTCCATCTCAGCGTCCCAGAGGCACGTTTCGTGATGGCACCAAGCCGCCCCTGTGGCAGACCGTTGGACATGGCAGGATTAGGTGAAAAGTCAAACAAAGTTTCAGCCAAGGGTCAAAAGGTAGCCCTGGAAGGCTCGTCTACTTGGACTCTGTCCGCCCAGTCTCGAAGGAAGTCACCATCGAGGCACGGTGAGGCCCCCACGAGCGAAGACGGGCCTGGAGTTTCAGGCAACGCCACTGCCATACGAGACCAAGCCCAAGGCCAAGCCCAAGCCCAACAAGAAGATCCTGCAGTTGGCACTCAGTCATTGCACGTGAATCAAGCCATGTCCCTGCTTTTGGTTTGGATGTGCAGCGAGTTCTCGCTGACACATGACTTTCCAAGATTTTGAATTCGTGCATCCAATTGAATCGCCTGCAATCCTCAGCCATTAGGGCTCAAACCATCGGTTGTTTGGCATGGAAGATGCTGAACAAGTGTAAGTCGCTGGGCCAAATACTTGCAACGTTGGACATTCTGCTTGAGCTCACTTGCCATCTCAGGTTGCCTGACCTCTCCTCCATACATCTTCATCATGCCAAGAAATTGGGTCAGTGCCTCAGCGCCGCATCGTCTCGCATTATGTCAATGGCTGTGGCCAGGTGTCAGCCTTTACCCTGGTCTTCACATTCCTTGATGCTTTGGCGGTGCAACCGCTGGACAGTATTCCTCGAGCACGCAGTGTCCAATTTCTCAAGAGTCCCATCTCATCAGCATGCCATGCATACCTTGCATCCCGGGCATCAGCATCCTAGCGTCCCCAGCAATTCTTTTTGCATGCTTGGCATTCCCAATATGCTTGCCGTGGTTGGCCTGCCCCCCTCATTGCCAGCATCTTCTGCATTCCCATTTTGCAACACCAGCTCTATATTCAGCCTCGTTGGAATCACCGTTTGCTGCATTTATCTCAAAATGTGAACAGGAAACAGCAACTGTCTGCATTGCAACAGGCGTTTAATGTGCTCACTTCCAAATCTGCATATCCATTGCATCCGTGTTATCAGCTGTAAACATGGCCGAACCAAATCATAGAATAGGCGTTCTGCCGTTTGGGAAGCCTTGATTGCATGTAGCACTGCTCGAACATCATTCCTTGTTCTGTGCGGAGTCTTTTTATTTCATCGGCGCTTTGGAACCTGTTTGTGCCACCTTGATGTTGGCATCCAATTGGTTTCTTTGTACCGCACGCGATTGTCGTGTGCCCTCTAGACCAGAGCGTGATGTTCTGCATGTGGTCTATCCATATTACGTATCCATCAAAATTTAGATCCACCTTCGTCTTGTTAATTGGATCATTGTTTCCTATGTGCTTGACCGTGCGAATACACCTTGCAGAAAATTGAAGGGGTCGAATCTCTTCCAGATAGAAAGCGTGTTGGGCCAAAACCACTATGCTATTTCAATGGCTTCTAGTCTAATATGACGGGTGGCCTGTTAAGGTAGAGCAGTATAGCTGGGCTATTCCGGCCAACTAAGAAAGGCTCAGCAACCAGCACTGATTTCAAGTCCAATTTGCTCATTGTGGGCCGCAGAAAAAATGCCTTGGCCCAAGCAAATGCTGATCCATGACTGGTTTCTTGTCTTTCCTAACTCTTGGGTGCCATCAGCCTTGGCAGCAAGAACCAAAGCGTGGAAGAAAAGGTGACCCTTTTGGTGTCACGAGGTGACAGTTCAAGCGTCACACCTCGAGGGTCGGGACTATGCCCGAGCCTTCCGCAGGGTACCACGCCTTCTCAAAGAAAAACACGGCAACATTGAGAGAAAACGAGGGCACGATCGCCCTGAGAAAAAAAAGTGCCCAATTTCACTGACGGCATTCCGGCATGTGGGTTTCCCAGGGTCACATTGCCTTCTCATTTCTTTTGAGAAGGCACGCTTGTTTGGTGGAGCCAAGCCTGTTGGAATCATGTTTTTTGCTTGATGCCTGCGTTTGTTGCAATTCCAGCATACGTTTACTTGATGAGTAATGGCGCCCATCTACATGATTCTGCCTTTACGCATCCATATTTTGCAATCCACCTGTCTTCAGAACAGGCTGTGTTTATTGTGTTTAGTTCACGTGTTGTTTCTACAAAACCATGCGTGCCGAATGGCCGCTTGGCTCAAGTGTTTTTACCTCCCGTCAGGTAGCTTAGGGTGTTTGTTCGTTCGCCATACCGCGGCAGCGGGGTTCTTCTTCGTGGAAAGGTTCGCGGAGCAGGGACCTGTTTTCCAACCATCCCATACTTGATCTTCCTTAACTGTCACTCCCACAACCTGGTCATCAGCACCTTCTCCATAGTGCTTTGGGACTGGGTGCTTTTGGTACTTCGTGGACCACGTGTACCTCTTTGATTCCTTGGGCTACTTCGTGTTCGCCCAAAACCGCAGGTTATCAGCCGTAACAGCTAGAAGCTGGGGCTGGTGACCCGGTTGCGGGACGTGACCCGCTACCTGCTCCCCCTCGCCTACTTGTACGTGCGATGGCGTCCCCTGGAGCTTCACATCGTGGGCGGCTTCGTGGACGACGAGGCCAACGCCCTTCGCGGCAGTGCCGCGCATGCTGCCCCCGGCTTAGACAGCCGGCTGTGGCCCCTTCCCCCGGTGATGGGCGCAGAGCCCAATCCCGAGGTGATCTCGGATTAGTGGATCCTGTCCCAGGTCGTTTTTGATGAGGAAGCGGAGGCCCCTATCCCGCCGGCGGTCCCTCTAGACGAGGTTGTGGTCCCTCCGAATCAGGAGCTCCCGTCGATTTCGCCTACTGTCCCGTTCACGGCCTTCCAGATCGGGGACCAGGTTGCTCATCCTGCAGTACACCCCGAAACTGCTCAATCTTGGTCGATCAGTTTGACCAGCTCCTCGGGGGTGGTAGGCTACCCCAACCAACTTTGATCGCATCGAATATTGATATTCTGTCCCTTTTTGATGCTGATTGGAGATCCCAGCCCTCCCGCCCTTCCCGAATTGACAGGCCCTTCGATGCCCTGCCTGTGCATGAGCCCATTGACGACTTCCCTCATGAAGGTGAGAATGACCCCAATGAAGATTTCTCCCCTTCTCATGTTGCAGGTTTGGCCCAACTCGAGTCGGGCGACCGGGCAACTGAGGATTTGATTGGCCACAAACAGTTGGCCTTCCTCCTGTATCAGGTTCATCCGATGCCAACATCACTCATGACCACCCCAGCCCGGCAGATTTGGACTTCATCCCCGAGGCAGCATCATCTTACATGTCAGGTACCCGTGATCAGGATGCGGACCGCTACAACGCCGGTCCAAATCCACTGCCATCCTCAGGTACCCGAGAAGGGGGTGCGAACCGCTACAACGCTGGCTCAATTCCCCCGAATTTGACCTCAGGTGCCCAAGATCGGGATGCGAGCCGCTACAACGCGAGCTCACATCCGCCAAACCCAACCTCAGGTACTCGTGAATCGGATGCGGGCCGCGAAACAGCAGGCCCAAATCCGTCCTCCACCTCATCCCTCCTCGTGCTGCTGGCGCCGCTGACTCTGTGAGACCTCCTCCCCCGCCTCCTCCTTCTGGACCACCTCCTTCGTCGCCATCTGCCCCCGTTTTTGGCAGGGATCCCTCTAAAACGAGGGCCGCCGCTCGGGCTGCTGGTGTTGCTCCCGACAACAGGGCCAGATGTGCTCATGAGGAGCCTGGGTATCCACAACATCGTGAACCTCGCTACCCGTGCCGAAGCTGCGGCAAATCGGTTTGTGAGGACTGCTTTGATCATGATTGTAACTCATGTTTCAAATGCAGCGATCAGTTTCCCCGCTGCCGCACGTGCAGAGGAAGAGGAGGAAGACATGGTCTCCAAACCTGTCTGGTGTGCAAGGAGGACTACTGCAGTCAGCACATCGCATCATCTGACGAAGCGCGCCGATTTGGATCAGTTGTTCAACCTATTTGTCTTGGATGCCTGAGGGCTAACCACGAAGGCAAGACCAAACATCGCGGTTGCAGCATAGAGCCCGGGGAGCCTGGTTTCGCCCCAGACCGTGATCGTCAAGATGGCGCTGCTCCTGATCCTGGATCTGGACCATCACGTGGAGGTCCGTCGCATCGGAGCCCTGAACCGCAACAAGGGAACTCCGGTTCCCGCTCCCACACCGGAGCCGCGGGGCCAATGCCGCCTAGGGCATCACCCATCATTGCCGGGCTGCTTCGAGGGGAACCGCCGGTACATCTCCCGGATGTTCTCGCGCTGGAGGTATCATCACCGGACAGGTCGAACATGGAACGTCACAGGGGATAATTCGCGGAAGATATGGGTCTGATGCTGCTGTGACAAATCAGCACACTCTACAGCCTGCCCACGGAATACCGCACAACGGTGGACCGACTGGGCTCCCTGCTTTCAAACTTGCTCTCTGTGCCGCACATCGCCTTCTACCACGTTCCGGATCAATACAGAAATGTCCCAGCGGTTAATCCGCTTCGGGGATCTTCGATCAGATCCCAGTCAACCAGCTCGTGAGGCCAGACAAGCCGGAGCCTGCTGTCCTTCGTCTCAGCGCAGCGCGGGGCAACGAGGACACCAGACGCAACCTTGAAAGGTTGAAAGACAGTTGAAAGAGGAATCCATCCAGAAGAGCCGGGTCATCCTCAGTGCCAGGAGGGGCGAGGATATCGCCCCCAGAGTTGGGAACACCATCGCGACGCTTTGTGCGAAGATCGAGGATATTGCTTGGTTCCTGGAAATGGGAGTGAGGACCAGAGCAGGTCCTATCCTCCGGACCTGAGGGTCCAGGCCATTGTGCCCGCTCCGAAGGAGGTGCTGGGCTACTTCACCGATGAGATCCGCCAGAAAGTGGAGAGCAGAGGTGACAACTCATCACATTACTTCCGGAGGGCATGCGCGGAAATGCACGACTCCGAGGAACGGCCGTGCAGCCGGGAAAAACCGGCGCCACTTCGGCACCAGCCTGGAGTCCGACGAAGCATGTGCATTGTACATCTTATCTTCTTTCCTTGAGGACGGGGTGGGCATGTTTGACATCATCCTCCCTGTCATACGTGACAGTGAGCATCGTTTGGTGCCGGGTTCCGCCCGCATAGCGGCGGTTCGGTCGCTGGAGATCGGCTCTGACACCGATTACTGCGCCTTTCGCGAGAGTACCAAATCATGCTCTACGAGAGCCCCGTTTGCCTGCCCGTCACTTCAAAGGTGGTTCCCAAGACTTTGTATAAGGTGGTCCCACTTCGGATGTATCGGCCCTACGTAGAACGAGGAGCCATCATCCGGGGAGGACGGGCGATGATA